GACTCACGAACAGGTCCAGGATGGGTTCCCTAACTCCCTTGTTATTGAAACAAAAAGGTCCCTCTTCAGCGACCACTCCCCTGGGTGGATGGTTTCCCGACTCAGCCAATCCGCCTGTACATTGGCCGTGCCCCTGATGTGTTCAGCCTGGATCGATGTCAAGTGCTTCTCTGCCCAGGACAGAAGAATGACAGCTTCCCTGTGGAGTTTCAAGGATTTGGACCCTCCTTGTTTGTTTATATAAGTCTTGGCGGCGATGTTGTCCATCCTGACCAGAAGATGACGTTGATGGAGATGTTCTTTGAAACTCAGTACAGCTAGCCTGATCGCCTTCAATTCGAGGAAATTGGTGGGAAGTTTGGACTCCTGTGACGTCCAGAGGCCCTGGACCGGTCTGTTGTCCAGCGTCGTGCCCCAGCTTGTGAGACTGGCGTCAGAAAACAACTGAACCTGGTGTGGAATCAGGAAAAGTTTGCCTTGACGTAGATTTTTGAATTTCATCCACCACACCAGGCTGGTCTTGACAGAAGATGGTACGCTGAGGACTAGGTTCGTCTTCTCCTTAATTTGAAGTTGGTATGGCAGAAAGAAGGCCCGAAAAGGTCTGAGGTGGAGACGGAGACATCCCCAACATAGAGCTTCGGTGTTGGCTACTAACAGTCCCTGTAGCTTGGCCAAAGTCATCAGAGGTGAAGAGACGCTTTTGATCACGGATTCTGCCAGTGTCCTGGTTTTGGCCATCTTTTCTGCGGGAAGGAAAAGAGAACACTGCCTCGTGTCTATTATCATGCCGAGGTGTTCCAGGCACTGAGATGGAGTAACTGAACATTTGGTCAGGTTTATCAGGAACCCATGAGCATGCAGGTAGTTGATCATGGTTTGAGTGTCCTGAGCTGACTTCTCTTGAGAACTGGAACAGGTAAGGATATCATCCAAGTACGGTTGGACATGTACTCCCTGTTCTCTGAGATTCACTACGAGGTTGACCAGAAGCTTTGTAAATACTCTCAGGGCCGTAGATAGTCCAAAGGGGAGGGCCCGGAACTGAAATGGCGTGTTCCCACGCAGAACCGCAGGTACTGGCGATGGGATGGGAGGATGGGCACATGTAGGTACGCTTCCGTCAAGTCTATTGAAGTCAGAAACTCGTTTGGCTGAATGGCCTCCGTGACTGACCGCAGGGTCTCCATTCTGAAGTGACACAGCCTGATGAACCGGTTGAGGTATTTGAGATCCAGAATGGACCTCCAATCCCCGTTCCTCTTGGGGACAGTGAAAAATATAGAATACACTCCCTGGCCCTGTTGTAGGTTGGGTACAGGTTCCACCGCCCTGATATCGACCAGATGTTGAATTGCTTTCTGAATAATCAGTCGTCTCTGACGGTTTTTGTGGAGGGGAGAGATCAGGAAGCGTTCCGGTGGGCAGCTTTCGAATTCGATGGAATATCCGTGAGATATAACGTCCAAGGATCAGGCGTCTACTCGAGCCTCTGACCAAACTTCTGCAAAGAGGAGTAGGCGCCTGCCCACCGGCGTGTCCGGGTAGTCAGTCCTTGGGAGACTTGGCATCCGCGCCAGGTCGGTCAAAGCGAAAGGATCAGTTGGGTCTGGAGTTAAACGGTCCCTTTTTGAAAGGTTGTCTTGGCTGTCCCCAGGAAGGTCGCTTCGTGTCCTGCCTTGGCCTAGCCAAGGTATGTTGCATATGAAATGGCTGCGGCCTGACATACTGTCTGTCGGAACGGCGAAGAGTCTTGGGCATCACTTTCTTCTTATCCCTCATCTCAATAAGGATCTTGTCTAAAGCGTCTCCAAAGAGCTTCTCGCCCTGAAAGGGGTAGGCTAGCACGATATTTTTGGAGTGAAGATCTGCTGGCCAGGTTCTGAGCCAGAAAAGACGTCTAGCCACTGCTGCCAAGGCCATCGCCCTGGAGGTGAGTACATCTAGGGATGCGTCAGCTGTGAATGTATTGGCTTTGAGAACTCTAGAGGCTTCCTCCAGGAGGCGTTTATTACTCTCTGGTATAAGTTGTATCATTTTTCGCATCCAAACGATGGAGGCCCTGGAGACGATTGAAGAAATAGCCGAGGCCCTCATGGCTAATGCTAGGGCCTCGTGTACTTTCCGCAGAGCCACCTCTCCCTTCTTATCAAAGTTGTCTCTGACAGTGCCTTGACCATCTTTCGACAGAAGGCCTGAGTACTGCAAGGCCGCTACTGGAGCATCCACCGCTGGCATCTGTAACATCTCATGCACAAAGTCGGGCATAGTATACAGTCTCTTAACAATTTGAGGAGACTGGTGGTTGGCTGTTGGTTTAGACCATTCAGCTCTCATTTGCCGCTCAAAATACTCTGGGAGAGGGAAAACATTAAAAGTAGAGGCATATTTTGGGAAGAATTCCTGCATGCCTTCCATACTGGACTTAGACGTCCTGGGCCTATGCTCTGCCTCCCCAGCAGGGCTATTATGAAGTTGGAGGGCAGCCACTGTCTTAGACAATAGGTACTGAAAATCCTCCATTTTAAAGAGACGGGTGGATGGCTCAGGCACAAACACCTCCTCTTCCTCCTTGTCAGAAGAATTCTTTTTTCCCCCTGCCCTCTGAGTCAGGATCAATAGGAAGTGTCCCCCCCCAGTTTGGGTCTGCATCCCCACTCTCTTCTTAAGAGTCTTTTTTTGGCAGCCTTGGTTGGCCATTGTCTGCTGTGAGACAGTGAGGAGGGAGCCCTTCTAGGGGATGGGGGAGGGGAGAAGGAATCAGAGCCGGATCTCATGGAGGTGAAGGCAGGAGGACGGCTAAGGGTGAACATCTCTTCCTTGACAGCCTGCTTCACTCGCCCCAGAAAGTCAATGGGAGCGCTAGGATGCGCTTGTACATTACCAATCAGAAGAGAACCGGCTTGGGAAGACAGGGCCTGAACGCGGAGCGGATAACCTGCAGCAAAGTCTCCCGGCAGGAGGTTGGCAAGGTCGCATTGATAGGCCGTACTGGAGCTGAGGAGACTCCCGGCCTGGTTTCCCGCCGAAATCGCGCTGTGGGGGGGTACAGTGCTGGGCTTGCCCCGTAGGTGGCAGCGTTGTCGTCAGGCCGCTGCCCCAAAGTGCAAGGCTTCTTGGCGATCTTCTGCAGCGCTAAATAGGCCAACGCATTGCCAACAGCACGCTCAAGCCGCTGAGGCATGTCGGCGCCGGTTCCCCTTCCGACAATCTCAGCAGTGCGGCAGCCGCCGTGCAGTCTTCCATGTCCAGGAATTCATCTTCACGCTCAGCCTCCATGAGGAGAGTCTCTCCGTTGGTGAAGAAAAAACCCCTGGGAGATCAAGGTGCCGTGGCAGCGGCGTTTGCTGTTAATGAAGATCTCCCAAGGCAGCAAGAAAGGAGAGAAACAAGAGGTATGAAATAAAAGTAGAAAGTAGGAAGGTAGTTAGGAAGAAGATAAAAGGTTAAGTTTTAAGGTAAGTAGAGTAGGCAAAGCCTGCAATAGAACTGCTCTCCCTCTGAGGCAGGAACAGAACTGAAGATAGGGGGCGTCCCACACTCCAGACAGGTAGAAGAAGAGTTTTAGTTCCTGCCTCCGATTGGATGGTGGGAAACACCCAAAGATGTCCTCCACCTTAGAGGGAGAATGGTTTGGAGCCGTATTTCACTTCTCGGAACGATCGTGATCCAGATCTGATCATGGAATGGAGTATGAGGTCACTGAAGGTGCACAAGAAGCTTGTTCCAAGTGCGGCTGAGGCACTGAAAATATTGTTTGTTTCTCCAAGGCAGATGATTTGGCTGCCTGGTTTACAAAGGCTGAGAGAGCTTTATTCATAACACAATTTTCAAACAGGAAGTTTGGTCGGCTCTTGCAGTAGGGGTGAAATGCTGGCAGATTGTGCATGTCATTTATGGCTCACCCCCAAGCGAATCAGACATACTTGTGCCATTGGTCTTTGTCATTTGTGTAGATCAGGTACAACATTTTGTAAGTAATGGCAGGCAAATGATTTTGCTGTCTGGCTTACAGATGATGAGAGCTTTTATTCCCCCCCCCCCACGGAGCTTTTAAACGGGAAGCTCAGTAGTCTTATTGCCTTAGGGGTGAACCCCTGGCAGATTGTGCATACCACTTACAGCTCACTCCCAACCAAATCAGACAGGCTTCATGACCATAATGGTGTCTCTTCAGAATAGTCAGAGCTGAAGTAAAAATGAAGAGCTAGCTTTGGAACTTCCTTCTCCAGTGGCAGTGAAAGAAGAAGTAATGGAATGTGTGGAGCCCCTCCCTGGACCACATGACCATTAGGTGGGAAATGGCTTGCACGTTTCCAGTTGCATTTCATTTTTTTTCACAAGGTATCTCACCAAAGGCTCCTGAGTAAACTTACTAGTCATAAGATGGGAGGACAGATCCTCTTATGAACTGGATATTAAAGACCACAAAGCACTTTTCCACATTTAAGGAAGTAGTGACCTCCCATAAGGAAATGGTGCTGTTTAACAGAGGTCAGTAGGGAATTTGTCAAGGTTATAGATTACAGCAAATTCTTCAGGATGATGAAATCTAAGCAAACTGTGAAGAATTCCAGTGGGCTCCGAACTGTATTGAATGAATAACAGAATGGAAAATGAGGGGTAATGTAATCATGGCTCCCTGAATATATTGTCTACTGTGCAGCTGCAGTGAACAAGACAAATTCAGTGGTGGGGATTGTTAAGGGATTGAAAATGAAACTACCAAAATATAAATGTAGTTCTGTTAGGAACACGGTATACAGTTATTGCCAGAGCACCTTTCCTAAGAAGAAAGGCAGAATGAGGCTTTGTATCAAAAGATACAGCAGGGAGGAACATGATACAAGAAGGTGGGGCAATTTGTCAATTCCCCCATAGTAGTAAAAATCCTTCTGTGAATTCACCCCATTCACAGATCTGTAAGATCTAAACCTCTGCCTTCATGTTTTGTGGATTGGTTGTCAAAAGGTTCATGTGCAGCATTACTACATTTGCAGGTGATGTGCCAGTGGGTGGAAGACTTGAGGAAAGAGCTTTGCAAGTTCTGGCTTCGGTCATTTCCTGTATTCTTTAATCTGATGGAGGTCATTGTGGTTGGAGTTATAGGAGCAGCTTTAATCATAAAAGTCTTAAAAGTACTTTGCCCATGTGAGCCCAAGTAAGTGCTACTTATACTTCATCTTATAAAAGCAAGCTGGTATCTTAGCAAGTTTTTAGATTATTTTTCCCCTTTCCTCCCTCCCTTCTTATAATTGCATGTTTGGTTGAATTTCACACACATAATACAGTGCTGAACTTTCAAAGTACTCTTATTTCACATGTGGCTGGCACCACTTTAAGTAGTGCTCCTTAGGAATTAAAACTTCCACATATGTATTGTACCAGCCTAGTAATGAGCAGTGTCCTCAAGTTATAGGTTTCTCCCTAGGGCAATGGTATGACCAATTAGCCACTGGAACCAATACACATTTCCTTGATTCTAGCATCTTGATCAACAACCTTGATCTTCTATGGGCTTATTTTTAGAATAAGAAGTCATATCTCTCCAAGATATCAGTCAGCCTTCTGTTCTAGTACCCGGCTCTGCATCCTCACATTTTCTTCCCTCGGCATCATTAAGTGACTTTCAAAGGCAAGAAGTGGGGTTGGTAAATTCAAGACCATAGCCCAAAATAGCTGACATTTAAATCTATTTAATGCCCCCCCTTTCAAGTTGCTTTTAGTTGAAAAGCTGAGAAACTGTTAACATGAAAAACACAGCAGAAGTCTTAAATTAGACATCCATGTTTTAATGATAACTTTTGAATCCAGTGGCACCTTTAAAACCAACAAGGTTTTATTCAAAGTATAAGCTTTCATGTGCAAGCACACTTCTTCAGATACAGTGAAACAGATTTTCTGCTACCATTATATATAGAAAGAGAGAGGGGTGGGGGTGTTTAGTTGCCATATAGGGCCAATTAGAGTCAAGACAGAGACAGAAACAAAATTGGAAATTACCAGTCCATACATATAGGTAGAGGGTGAGCACCCTCTATCATACAGCATAATGAAGATATTCAACAGTTTAAAGGATCAAACAGAAATAATAAGCTTAGTTTACATGGTAACCATTTGTTTGGGTTCAATTCTGGGGCAAAAACAGCGAGGGAAATAAATATGTCAAAATTGGAGATTGATGTATCCTTAATTGTAGAATGCTAGGAGTAATTAATTTAGACCCTGACATCTGTCTCTTCTCAAGTGTGGACTGGTAATTTCCAAGTTTGTTTCTGTCTCTGTCTTGACTCTAATTGGCCCTTCCTGGCAACTAAACACCCCCACCCTCTCTTTCTATATGTAATGGTTGAGGAAATTCTGTTTCACTGTATCTGAAGAAGTGTGCTTGCACATGAAAGTTTATACCTTGAATAAAACTTCGTTGGTCTTAAAGGTGCCACTGGACTCAAACTTTGTTCTGCTCCTTCAGACCAATACAGCTGCCCGCCAGAATCTAATGATAACTTGTTCTTTTTTCCAGGGGAATCCTCCACCTTGATTTCAACATTATACCTGTGGTTGCAGTCAGCTTGCTTCCAGACTTGCCAGAGAAAAAAGACAATATAGAGGAAAAATGTATTTAAAAAGTTTGCCTTCAAGTATTTGTATGAGTTTGACCCAATATTTGGCATGATCCTTAATATATTGTGTAATGTATTAAGAAAAGGCTATGGAATATCAGCGTTTTAAAGGATACCTAACATTGAGGCCCTAAGGAGTTCATCTTGTTTCACTTCAACCACCCTAATACCTTCGCTCTCTCTCACACAAACACATAGCCCAGCAGGTTCCTTATAGAATGGCTGCAGTAAATTCTAACTTCTTTGAAGGAATTTTTCAACATACAATTCAAACAGCCCAAACACAGCGGCTGTATAAACATGCCATACTAATCCAAATGACCTCAACCTGCAAATATTGTTTACAGATTTTAGTAAGACATGCTTCCAAATAAATATTAAAATTATAGCTTTAAACTCTACATGGAATGGAATGAGTCTAATGGAAATGAGTCTAAGCTATCAGTCCCTATGAACATGGAATGGAATTGTGTGAGAACCTATACCCACCTGTAACAAAAAGAAAGCTAGTTTAGGCTGGATATCCTAAAGTGTGCCTTGGGGGAGAAAAGGTGGGAAGGAGCTTTTGTTCGCTCTTAAGATGAATTGGCTTTTGGTGTAATGCTTTTACTGTACAAAAGGCAATGTAACATTACAAGCACTTTATTTGGTCCATAAAAAATAAGGCCTCCTAAAAGGTGTAAGCACTTTTAAAACTGTGCTTCTTGAAGCTGCAGTACAGTATACATTTCTAAAGAGCACAAATGCCTTTAAAATGGTGATTTACAAAGCAGTTTTCCAGACAAATTTGTATGATCACAACTTTTCAATAAATCTTTACATGTTGAGAGACATTAATATTTCTCTAGAGTTGTTTGACCATTTGGATTTTTTATGATACTTTAAAAGGCTGCATTCTGTGATCCAGCATTTCTAAGCAGCAGCTGAAGCCAGATGTATGACTTTGCTCTGGAAGGAAATATGTTCCAAGGTTTTACACATACTCCTCAACTACCCCTCTTCTCCTGAAATATGTTCCAAGGTTTTACACATACTCAACTACCCCTCTTCTCCGTTTTTTCTAGTTTAACTGCAATCAGTCATAGAAAACAAGGCTCTGCCTACTCATAATACTGAAATTATATTTGAGTTTGGTCAAGACAAGAGAGCTGGTTATTCCTACACTGTATTATGCCAGTTAAACATGGTTGCTGAATGTAGCCTGGCACCCCACACCTAAACACTGATTGAAGTGGAACATTTATGTAATGGAGAAACCCACTCAATTTATCCAGCATTTAAATACCTTTGTGAGAGTGATTCTGCAGAACACACTCAGTAACATTATTAGTGGGAAGTGGAATGGGCGTAAGAGTGTGGGGAAAGAAGAGCTCTAGTTTAAGAAACCAACTTTATTAAGTATTGTTTGTCTAATTATAAAAAGTTAAAAAAAATAGTACTCAGTGCCTTGGAGCGCTAATTTTTAATTACTTCTGGAATTGTTTGAAGACTTAAGGCAGATTTCTTAAGATAGGAAGGCTTAGCATGATCCAAATTCAAATATCCATTGCTCATATTTTTCAATGTCCGCAGCACAGACTGACTTGGAAACTTTCTTTAAAGCCATTTCAAAATCTTCCATTGTTGTTGGCATGTGCATGTCATCTCTGGAAAGGTTTTTAATTTCTTCAGGTGTCAAGCCTTCGATACGTCTTCTCATAGCCATTAATGAAGCATCCCTGTTCAGATACAAGAGTAAAATTTTAGTGAGCATATACAGAATCAAACTGGTACTAAATAAATGAGAGCTGGATAAAAGATCAAATGGATCCACTTAGGAAACTTTCAGTGGAAGTTTGAAAATACTTCAACTGACTGTGTAGTATTACCAGATTCTTAGGGTAAAGGATAAGTTGCCAAAAAAACACACAGGTACATGGTGTGAACAAAGTTGTTTTAATGAAGCAATTTACAATTACATTCTCTTACAGCTAGCTGGGTCTACCTAAACAGAATGGTTAGGCATGATTTACCCATCAGGACAGTATTCTTGACCCTTGTAGGTTATATTTATATTCTTAGATTTGTTCAGCCTTCCTCAGCAACAGCTTTAATCAGAAATAATAGAAATAATCTGAAAGGAAGCATCTCCTTAGCTGTGTACTGAGCATAAGACATTCTTACACCAAGCAGGTGAAACATCAATTTTCTGGTTCAAAGTACAAGAGGTGTGCTGTTTTTGCTGACTTATGATGATGGCTCTTTACTGTAGTTGAGCTTAAAGTGGTCTAGGCTAAAATAATTGAATCTATTTCAGCACACAAAACAGATATTTTGCAGTAGCCCACAGACTTCTGAAACCTAGGACTAACCCAATTTGCAGATACTATTTTCATAACCTTTCTCCTCTGTGATTATAGTTCTCTCATGCTTTTTGTCTGCACAAAGTTTGCTCCAGATTTGTGATCTCCCTTTAGATCCTCCCTATGGTGAGAACACTGCTTTAGGGGGAAACCATGGGAATTTAGGATCCTGGCATCATTGGTGCTTTCAGTAAAAGCCATAAATAGTAGGAACAAGAGCAAGCTCTATTGGCAGGACCAGAGGCAAAGTACAAGTTTCACTTTCTCTGAGAGTTCTTTGAGCTAGAAGTGTTGTGTGTATTCAAGTTGTATAGTTGGGAACGACTAGGAGAGGGCGTGAGAATGAGTAGTGAAACAATAATGGAGGCAAGGAAAAGTTGTGAAAGAAACATAAGAAATAATTGGCTGTGAAGACAGAAAAAAGGAAGACATGGCAGGGATGGAGTAGAAACCATATCAGGGAATGAAAACTGTGCCACTGATGCAAGCCACCAGGTGAACACTAATGGTATAGCAAGTATAACATTTCTACAATGAAGGTATTAGAACTGTGACAGAAGTCCCAATTAAATGAAATTTTCAAGTATTGTATCCAGGACTGTGGCACATATGTGTGTGTTTCATTTTAAACATACCTGCACACATTAGTAATGTCAGCACCAGAATAGCCTTCCATATTCTGTGCAATAGTTGCAAGGTCAACATCATCAGCAAGTTCCAACTCTCGCAGGTTTATTCTTAAAAGTTCTTCTCTGCCTTTAGCTAGATGGAGCAAAACAACAACAAAAATGTAAACAAAATATAAAATCAGGTCCCTACATACTATGTAGACATCTGTAACTGTCTAGATGATATACTGTTAATACTTTTAATTAAAATGCTGAGTTTTTTACAAAATGTTTTCCCTAAACATTACTTTACTCTTTAGAAGAAGAAGAAGAGATTGGATTTATACACCGCCCTTCACTACCCAAAGGTGTCTCAGAGCGGCTTACAAACTCCTTTCCCTTCCCCTCCCCACAACAGACACCCTGTGAGGTAGGCGGGGCTGAGAGAGCTCTTGACAGAAACAGCTCTTTTTCAAGAACAGCTCTTATCAGAACTACGGCTTACCCAAGGTCATCCAGCCAGATGCAAGTGGAGGAGTGGGGAATCAAACCCAGTTCTCTCAGATTAGAGTCCACGCACTTAACCACTACACCAAACTGGCACTTAACCACTACACCATCCTAAAATAGATATATGAACTCAAACTGACCTGCAATTTTGAGGCTTTGAATGTAAGCTCTATGGAACATTCTAATAATTCCACTGTAATGAGGAAAGTGCTTTGCATGAAGCATAGTATTTTTCAATCACAGTCTACTTCATGTGTAGCAGATACAGCTCTTCAATTTATAATTTAAAATGCTAAGAAGCTGGGTTTCCCTGATATAATATCTTTATACCTGATGGTAAAGGAATGTAAATTCTCTTCTCCAGCCGTCGTCTTAAAGCCTCATCTATATCCCATGGAAAATTAGTTGCAGCCAGTACCATAACCATTTTTGAAGGGTCATCATTTTCAGAAGCCCCTCCAACACCTAAATCAGTGGAAATTTTTAAAAGAGGGTTACAACTTTAATTTCATAATACATGAAGTCATCTAAAACAACCAGTTTCAATGTAAGTTCATTTCTAACAGCAACAGAACCACATCACACTTTATTTGATTGCCATCTTAAATGCCTAAACAGCCAGTGGTAACAGCTGGTCATCCGTTTAACAGAAGTGTTTGTATGAAGTATCCTTAGGCTACTGAGGCACTCTGCCCTCAATACACTTTTTGTTACTTTAAAAAAGGAGGAATAGAACTAAGACAGCTCTGTAAGGAGGAAAACATTTATGAGAACCCTGGTTTGCAAACTCAGACTGCTCACTAATTCCAAGAACAGAATGTTATTCAGACACTAAGTATTTGCTTATTTAGGAATTACATATATACAGCCAAAAAAAATATCTCTCCCCACAAACCCACACATCACACCTTCCCTAAGTGATAAGCAGCTGTTAAATGCATAATCAGTAGGACTCTGATGAGGCAGCACAGAAATCTAAATAATTTACAAAGTGGTCCTTGGGGGGCTTCTGTATGCTGAATAAATCTCTTAAGAGCTGTGGAAGGAAACAGTTAAAAACCCCACACAAATGTAGCTGGATTCATTTTCAAAATACAAGAAAATATGGCATAAGTGACTTTTTTAGATAGGTGATCTGGAAATATGTGTAAGCCTCACTACAGAGCATGAATTCTAGTATCTCAGAGAAATCTGAAAATTAAAGCTTGCCACCTACAATGAATTTGCATACATATCTGGCTTCAGAGTCCATTTCAAGATAGCAAACTGCCCTCCCATCCTGATGGCCTTTACTAAAAGAGAGATGAGGAATTAACTGCCTGACTTTCCTGGATCTCTCAGCAGCTTTAACTGGCAGGATTCAACTAGCCTCAAAGTAGCCTTCCTCCAGACCAAGGAGCCCCCCTCCAACCTACAATTTATGTTGGAGAAAGACGTCAAACTTGAATTCAGCTTTGCTTTTTGGAATCCCCAGTAGTGAGTGATTGTGGCCCAGAGTGCCGTAGTTTAGTTTTGACTGATTCAGATATGCCCATTATTGGAACACAGAGACCTGTCCACTGGCACTCATGCTTTGCTATCTTTCATATGGAATTATTATGATGCACTCTACACGGAATGGAGCTTGAAGATAATCCATAAAATCCAATTTGTTCAAAGTGCTCTAGGCTTTTTTTGGCTGGACAACTTCTTTATTTGTTGCAAATCTGTTTCTGGGACCAATTCAAGATGGTGTACTGGTTTTGTTCTTAACATCCGTGGATTCTGGAGCCCTTTGTGTTTAATCATCTGTCAGTAAAGCTCTCATCTTTTGCAAATACAAAGCTAGCAACCTTTAGGCATAGAGCCATTTCAGCAGTTGCTTTATGTCATGGAATGTTCTCCTTCAGGAAGTGCACCTAGCCACATTCCTAGCCTCTTTTTATGATTGGACAAAAGTCTCTATCCACTAGATTTCTGAGAGAGTGGTCTGTATTTGATTGCTGCTTTTAGATGTGCTGTTTGGTTAAGGCATCAACAAAACAATCTAACGTACCCTGCTGAAACAGTAAACAGCTCTGAACATTAATATTCAAAGGCAGTATACAAATACACTTACCATCCATTTGAACAAGTAATTCTGCCTTCACCCTTCGGCTGGCTTCATGCTCCTCAGAAGTTCCTCTGCGACTGCAGATAGAGTCTATCTCATCAATAAATATTGTTGTTGGTGCATAGAATCGAGCCTGGAGGTATGAGAAAATAAAGGAACATCCATTTATCCTAAACTTAATTCCTAAACTTAACTCTTCTGCAGAATCTACTTCATAAAAAACAATCAATCTTTGACCTGAAGAAATCGGCAGTCCCCAGCAGTCAACAATGACCATGCATAACAACTTTTGACCTATACTCTTGCCAGAATAATAATATAATAGGTCTATATAACATAATAGGTGTAATTATCAGACATAATCTTCAGCTTAAGTTCAATACTTCAATTTATTCAGTTTATAACCCGCCCTATCCTGAAAGCGGGCTCAGGGCAGCTC